GGTAGAAATGTTCTATACAGGTGAAAAAGAACCAGTTTAGTGTCCCAGTTACCTGTTTAAGATTCCTTGTATTATCCATCTGTTCCACTTGGTTATATGTGTCTGGATTTGCTGTGATCAGCATACACTGCATACACGTATCTGCTGAGATTAGAATATATTCATATTCAGTAATTAATATATTCATGTACTCATTCAGAACTTGATGGCAGCAACGCAGCTTGAGAACGTTGTGACAGGGCCACGTCTACCGTTGTGTAGCCTCCCCTCTTCTTTTAACAGCAGTCTGTAAACGTCTGGGAAGTGAGGAGAGCCATTGCTGGAGTTCTGGGAGAGGAATGTTGTCCCATTCTTGTCTGATGTAGGACTCTAGCTGCTCAGTCCTGGGTCTTTGGGTCTTCTTTATGGAGTTAGTTTTGTGCCAAAATGTTTGAGAGAAGGTCCTGATGTTTGAGAGAGGAATGTCACGGTTTGAGAGGACAGCTATCCTGGGTCTTTAGGTCTTCTTTGCTGGAATTTTCGTTTCATGATGCACTGAATGTTTTCTATTGGTGAAGGTCTGGACTGCAGGCCGGCCAGTTCAGCACCTGGACTCTGGGCTTCTGCAAAGCCATGCTGTTGTGATGGATGCAGTATGTGGTTTATTGTCTTGCTGAAATATGCAAGGCCTTCCCTGAAAGAGACGAAAGAAGAGAAAAAAGAATTAGAAATTTTGATTCATCTGACCTCAGAACAGTTTTCCATTTTGCCTCAGTCCATTTTAAATGAGCTTTGGCCCAGAGAAGACGGCAGCATTTTAGGATCATGTTGACATGTGGCTTCTTCTTTGCATGACACAGCTTTAACTTGCATTTGTGGATTACACAAAAACAGGGATTGTCTAAATCTGTTGATGATATTATGTACTGTAGTCTTCGCAATTTTACATTGAGGAACATTTTTTTGAAATTGTTCCACAACTTTTAGATGCAGTTTTTTACAGATTGGTGAACCTCTGCCCATCTTTGCTTCTGAGAGACTCTGCCTCTCTAAAATGACCTTTTTATGCTCAGTCATGTGAGTTAGTGGCAAATTGCTCCTCCAGCTGATTTTTATTAGTACCACTTACAGCCATTTGTTGTCTCTGTCCCAACTTTTTTGAAATGCGTTGCTGCCATCAAGTCCTAAATGAGTTAATGTTTTTCCTGATATGGTAAAATGTCTCATTTTCAATTTCAGATTTTAGAGCTTCATTACTCACCACTTCATATAACTTTATACAGTCATTTAAAACTAATCAGATTTTAGAGCTTCGTCACTCACCACTTCATTTCACCTTCATTGAAGGACCAGCTGATACAGACACTGAAAAAAAGAAAAAGAAAAAGATAGAAAAGGAAACAGTATATTAAAAAACAGGACAACAGCACCATCTGCTTGAGTAAACAGAGCAAACTGTTTTTACTCAGCAGATCACATTTCAGGAGCTTCACTGTCTATTTGAGTTCTGAAATGTTAAAAATCTACTTTACAAACTAAACATTAAGATAAAGTCTTTAACAAGATGATAAAGGAGTGTCAGTGCAGTTCTTACCAGTAGTGAATGTAGAGATCAGTAAGATCAGGATACAGAGAGCAGAACTGCAGGACTGCATGACTGACCTACAGACACACACACACCATCAGTACTGACCAGGAGAGGAGAGAGAAAGAGAGAACAGAACTGACCTACAGATACACACACCATCAGTCCTGACCAGGAGAGGAGAGAGAAAACAAAGAAGAAAGAACAGAACTGACCTACAGACACACACCATCAGTACTGACCAAGAGAGGAGAGAGAGAAGAGAGAACAGAACTGACCTACAGAAACACAAACCATCAGTACTGACCAAAAGAGGAAAGAGAGAAGAGAGAAAGAACATAACTGACCTACAGACACACACACACCATCAGTACTGACCAGGAGAGGAGAGAAAGAAGAAAGAACAGAACTGACCTACAGACACACACCATCAGTACTGACCATGAGAGGAGAGAGAGAAGAGAGAAAGAGAGAACAGAACTGACCTACAGACACACACACCATCAGTACTGACCAGAAAAGGAAAGAGAGAAGATAGAAAGAGTGAACAGAACTGACCTACACACACACACCATCAGTACTGACCAGGAGAGGAGAGATAGAAGAACGAACAGAACTGACCTACAGACACACACCATCAGTAATGACCAGGAGAGAAGAGAGAGATGAGAGAAAGAGAGAACAGAACTGACCTACAGACACACACACACCATCAGTACTGACCAGGAGAGGAGAGAGAGAAGAGAGAACAGAACTGACCTTCAGACAAACACACCATCAGTACTGACCAGAAAAGGAACGAGAGAAGAGAGAAAGAGAAACCAGAACTGACCTACAGACACACACACGCACCTTCAGTGCTGACCAGGAGAGGAGAGAGAGAAGAAAGAACAGAACTGACCTACAGACACACACACCATCAGTACTGACCATGAGAGGAGAGAGAGAAGAGAGAAAGAGAGAACAGAACTGACCTACAGACACACACACACCATCAGTACTGACCAGGAGAGGAGAGAGAGAAGAGAGAAAGAGAGAACAGAACTGACCTACAGACACACACACACCATCAGTACTGACCAGGAGAGGAGACAGAGAAGAGAGAAGAAAGAACAGAACTGACCTACAGACACACACCATCATTACTGAACAAAAGAGAAAAGAGAGAAGAGAGAAAGAACAGAACTGACCTACAGACACACACCATCAGTACTGACCATGAGAGGAGAGAGAGAAGAGAGAAAGAGAGAACAGAACTGACCTACAGACACACACCATCAGTACTGACCAGGAGAGGAGAGAGAGAAGAGAGAACAGACCTGACCTCCAGACACACACACCATCATTACTGACCAGGAGAGGAGAGAGAGAAGAGAGATAGAGAGAACAGAACTGACCTACAGACACACACAATCAGTACTGACCAGAAAAAGAAAGAGAGAAGAGAGAAAGAGAGAACAGAACTGACCTACAGACAAACACACACCATCAGTACTGACCAGGAGAGGAGAGAGAGAAGAGAGAACAGAACTGACCTTCAGACACACACACCATCAGTACTGACCAGAAAAGGAAAGAGAGAAGAGAGAAAGAGAAACCAGAACTGACCTACAGATACACACACGCACCTTCAGTACTGACCAGGAGAGGAGAGAGAGAAGAGAGAGAGAGAACAGAACTGACCTACAGATACACACATGGACCATCAGTACTGACCAGGAGAGGAGAGAGAGGAGAGAGAGAGAGAAAAGAACTGACATACAGACACCCACACACAAACACCATCAGTACTGACCAGGAGAGAGAGAAGAGAGAAAGAGAGAACAGAACTGACCTACAGAAACACACACCATCATTACTGAACAAAAGAGAAAAGAGAGAAAGAACAGAACTGACCTACAGACAAACACACACCATCAGTACTGACCAGGAGAGGAGAGAAAGAAGAAAGAACAGAACTGACCTACAGACACACACCATCAGTACTGACCATGAGAGGAGAGAGAGAAGAGAGAAAGAGAGAACAGAACTGACCTACAGACACACATACACCATCAGTACTGACCAGGAGAGGAGAGAAAGAAGAAAGAACAGAACTGACCTACAGACACACACACCGTCAGTACTGACCAGGAGAGGAGAGAGAGAAGAGAGATAGAGAGAACAGAACTGACCTACAGAAACACAATCAGTACTGACCAGGAGAGGAGAGAGAGAAGAGAGAGAAGAGAGAACAGAACTGACCTACAGACACACACAATCAGTACTGACCAGAAAAAGAAAGAGAGAAGAGAGAAAGAGAGAACAGAACTGACCTACAGACAAACACACACCATCAGTACTGACCATGAGAGGAGAGAGAGAAGAGAGAGAAGAGAGAACGGAACTGACCTTCAGACACATACACCATCAGTACTGACCAGAAAAGGAAAGAGAGAAGAGAAAAAGAGAGAACAGAACTGACCTACAGACACACACACACACACCATCAGTACTGACCAGGAGAGGAGAGAGAGAAGAGAGAAAGAGAGAACAGAACTGACCTACAGACACACACATGCACCATCAGTACTGACCAGGAGAGGAGAGAGAGAAGAGAGAAAGAGAGAACAGAACTGACCTACAGACACACACACACCATCAGTACTGACCAGGAGAGGAGAGAGAGAAGAGAGAAAGAGAGCTTAACTGTCTAGTAAATGTCTGATTGTGTGTGAAATAATTAGTGTGATTATCAGTGAAACGTATTACAGTAAGGAAATTCAAAGCTGGATAAACTGCTGATGTTACTAATTTGATTAGATTTGATGGTAGAAATGTTCTATACAGGTGAAAAAGAACCAGTTTAGTAACCCAGTTACCTGTTTAAGATTCATTGTATTATCCATCTGTTCCACTTGGTTATATGTGTCTGGATTTGCTGTGATCAGCATACACTGCATACACGTATCTGCTGAGATTAGAATATATTCATATTCAGTAATTAATATATTCATATACTCATTCAGAACTTGATGGCAGCAACGCAGCTTGAAAAAGTTGTGACAGGGCCACGTCTACCGTTGTGTAGCCTCCCCTCTTCTCTTAACAGCAGTCTGTAAACGTCTGGGAAGTGAGGAGAGCCATTGCTGGAGTTCTGGGAGAGGAATGTTGTCCCATTCTTGTCTGATGTAGGACTCTAGCTGCTCAGTCCTGGGTCTTTGGGTCTTCTTTATGGAGTTAGTTTTGTGCCAAAATGTTTGAGAGAAGGTCCTGATGTTTGAGAGAGGAATGTCACGGTTTGAGAGGACAGCTATCCTGGGTCTTTAGGTCTTCTTTGCTGGATTTTTCATTTCATGATGCACTGAATGTTTTCTATTGGTGAAGGTCTGGACTGCAGGCCGGCCAGTTCAGCACCCGGACTCTTCTTCTGCAAAGCCATACTGTTGTGATGGATGCAGTATGTGGTTTATTGTCTTGATGAAATATGCAAGGCCTTCCCTGAAAGAGACGAAAAGAAGAGAAAAAAAAAAATAGAAATTTTGATTCATCTGACCTCAGAACAGTTTTCCATTTTGCCTCAGTCCATTTTAAATGAGCTTTGGCCCAGAGAAGACGGCGGCGTTTCCGGATCATGCTGACATGTGGCTTCTTCTTTGCATGACACAGCTTTAACTTGCATTTGTGGATTACACAAAAACAGGGATTTTTACAGATTGTCTAAATCTGTTGATGATATTATGTACTGTATATGATGGGATGTCCAAAGTCTTCACAATTTTACGTTGAGGAACATTTTTTTGAAATTGTTCCACAACTTTTAGACGTAGTTTTTCTCAGACTGTTGAACCTCTGCCCATCTTTGCTTCTGAGAGACTCTGCCTCTCTAAAATGACCTTTTTATACTCAGTCATGTGAGTTAGTGGCAAATTGTTCGTCCAGCTGATTTTTATTAGTACCACTTACAGCCATTTGTTGTCTCTGTCCCAACTTTTTTGAGACGCTTTGCTACCATCAAGTTCTAAATGAGTTAATGTTTTTCCTGATATGGTAAAATGTCTCACTTTCAATTTCAGATTTTAGAGCTTCATTACTCACCACTTCATATAACTTTATACAGTCATTTAAAACTAATCCGATTTTAGAGCTTCGTCACTCACCGCTTCATTTCACCTTCATTGAAGGACCAGCTGATACAGACACTGAAAAAAAGAAAAAGATAGAAAAGGAAACAGTATATTAAAAAACAGGACAACAGCACCATCTGCTGGAGTGAACAGAGCAAACTGTTTGTACTCAGCAGATCACATTTCAGGAGCTTCACTGTCTATTTGAGTTCTGAAATGTTAAAGATCTACTTTACAAACTAAACATTAAGATAAAGTCTTTAACAAGATGATAAAGGAGTGACAGTTCTTACCAGTAGTGAATGTAGAGACCAGTAAGATCAGGATACAGAGAGCAGAACTGCAGGACTGCATGACTGACCTACAGACACACACACACCATCAGTACTGACCAGGAGAGGAGAGAGAGAAGAGAGAACAGAACTGACCTACAGACACACACACACCATCAGTACTGACCAGGAGAGGAGAGAGAGAGACGAGAGAAAGAGAGAACAGAACTGACCTACAGACACACACACACACACCATCAGTACTGACCAGGAGAGGAGAGAGAGAGACGAGAGAAAGAGAGAACAGAACTGACCTACAGACACACACACACCATCAGTACTGACCAGGAGAGGAGAGATATAGTGCTGTGCAAAACTCAGTGACCACCCTTTATTTCAGTTCTAGTCAAACAGCCATAAAGAATGTTACTGATTTTCCAGGAGGAGATTAGATTAAAGAGTCCACTTAAGTAATAAAAGAGAAAGTTAAAGGAAAATAAGTGACCAAATTGGAGTTCAACAAATCTACAGAGAAAATGTGCTTCCTAACAACCACCTGGAAGAGCTGCTAGACCCCAATACTTACCCCATCAGATAAACAGCACTTAAAGCTTTCATCTCTGAGAGAGAGGAGAAAATCAAGCTGATCAGATCTGAAAACATCCACAGGTGTTTCTGTTCATCCTTCCACTGTGAGAAGACGACTCAGCGCTGTGGGTCTGAAAGGATGTGTAGAAGAACCTCACTGAGAAAAGGAGACACATCAAACAACGAAGCTGAACAATGGACTGACCACCCCAGAGTCCAGACCTCAACACCACTGAATGTGTTTGGTTACATCAGAAAATGATCAACCAGCTTCTAAGACTGAACTTTGGAGGTGTGTCTGCAGATTCTTTGAGGAACTGAAAGTGAGTCTCCTGAACAGAATGGAAGCTGGAATGAAGGGAAAGAGAGACTCACTGAACACAGCACTGAATTTGAATCAATCAGCTCAGAGCCCACAAACTGCAGCAGCTCTCTGAGTTCATAGAGACTAATGAGTATCAGTGAGTGTGCTGGAGATTTACTCCACTATATTCACTGATACAGTAAATCTGTACAGTGGAAATGCTGAAATATTACAGATGTTACTCAGACTGGTGGGTTTGCTCCTCCTGGCAGCTCAAGGCTTTTTCTGTAGACTTCCTGTCTGTACAGAGGAAGTGGCTGCAGAACCGACTGCGCTGCTTGTGGTTTTTAAGAGGAAGTGTGCTGTGATGCAGCCAATCAACAGCCTGCTAATCTCAGGATTTCTCTTTAATACAGAAGCTCATCACTCTGTTCCAGCACACATTTAATAAAACTGTTATATCAATCACAATAAATTACATTAATTCTGTCTGTCAATCAGCTGATGATGTTAAATAAACCACTCAGTCTTTCTGAAACAGCCATTTAACAAAAGAGCCTCAGATCAGCCATAAACTCCAAACAGAAACAGAAACAGAGAATCTCCAAACACACTTCAGCTCTGAGCTCTGAGTTGTACTCACCGCTCTCTCTCTCTCTCTCTCTCTCTCTCTCTCTCTCTCTCTCTCTCTCTCACTGCTGGAGTTTCTGCAGGGAAATCAATCCTGTTTATTATCATAATATCAGAAATATGACAGAATCGTACAGCTGGTGTGCTGATTACTTCCTCCTGCACTGATGCGCTTTCGTTTTGATCTTCAGTAAACGGGGACAGGGGGCGGGGCTTAAGAACAGGTGGTTTTATTCTGTGGGGTTTTGACTCAGTTTCTGATCTGATGCTGCTTTAGTCTCCGAGGAGGAGGAGCTCGCTCACCCAGCGTAACGGTTCCTGTGGGAGATAAACAGAAATCTGAGGATGTGAAATGGAGCTGCAGCTGATCAGTTTAGGCCTGTTTTAGTGGAGTAGAAATGAACTGTGGGTAAACTGCACATGTGTAAAATTCACTTTAGCATCATCATTTATATTCATACTGTTTACCTGCTCACTTTCTGTCATCTGACTGTTTACATGATGGAAATAACGTTGATGTCAAATTATGGTCATGCTGGTTGACCAGCATACCAGCATCCTAAACACAACATCTGCTGGTTTTGCAGGTGACCAGCCAGTTGTGTCGTGTTGAGTTTATCATATTTTTGATTTTTTTCCACCTCCTAACTTCCCTGATCCTCTAAATGGGCTCTGATTGGCTCCTCATTACCTGCTGAACAGGTGTGAAGCATTATTACTCACCTACACATCACTCAGGCTTCTATGGGACGACAGCTGAGGCAGATACGACATACAAACACTGTTTATTATTGTGGATATAGTCATAAAGGGGTAATTACACTGTCATTAGCTTAGCTCTGGTTTACAGTTTAACCTGGGTTTAAACCTGAATGAGTCTCATGGGTTCTTAAACTCCACTGCTCTGTCCTCAAAAGCTGCAGTTTAAAGCTCACCTGCATCTTAAACTAAACCTGATTGCTTTTCATTTAAAAACCACACATCTGCCACTAGATGGTGCTGTTGATCAGGTTTAACTGAGGTCTGTCTGAAACCTGATAAAGACACGGTTTAACTGAGGCTTAAGGTGAGATTATTGTAATTGAAGCGCATTTTCAGCTCAGATATGACAATATTTCATAACCATAGGCCTACATACCTTCTGTCATAATGTTTTGTGGACATGAAACAGCACACACCTGACCATGGAACAGCCAAAGAGCCAACTGTCCAATTACTTTTGAACCCCTACAAATGAGAGACGCTGAATAAAATGGTTGTAATTCCTACAACATTCACCTTGATTTGGATGTAAATATCCTCAACATAAAGCTGAAAGTCTGCACTTTGAACTCATGTTCATTATTTAATTTCAGCTCCAGCTGTGCTGGACAGCCAACATAATGGCTTTGTCAGTGTCCAAATATTTATGGGCCCAAATGTATATGCTGACATTTCATTATATATTGACTGATAAACTATACAGCAAAATATGTTCTTACTATGCAGTATTTTGTTTTAGTCGGGCTCATGATGTAATTTGACAGCACATCTGGATGATCAGTGGATCAGAGAGACTCCTGCATGTTTGGAAAGAGCAGTCAGGTTTAGTTTAACACACAGCTGAGTATTAAACCCCTGAAGTTACCGGTTTAACCAAACCTGTGTTAAACTGAGACTAAACTGCTGCTAAGCTAATGGCAGAGCAATCAGAGCAACAGCCCCACCATGTCTCTAATGTCGATCTGTCACAGGTTTGGCACAGCGCCATCTGCTGGGTGAGCTGGACAGAGTGGAAAAGGAAGGTCAGTGTATTTCAGTTTGGACCCTGAGTTACATCAAAAGAGCAGATGATATTATGGAACATCTCAGATCTTCATCCAGACTTTTTAATTCATTTTTGTAATTAACACCTGATTCTGTTAAAGTCAGAATGACACAATAACATTTTACACAGATTAATAAAGACATCAGTCACAAGATCAGAACACAAGGAAGCTTCATTTATTTTAATAATATAAATTTACGGTTAGAATTACTGATATGAGCACAGCTGATGACACTGGAGTTGGTGCTTTATCAACATTAGAAGTATAAACACATTAAACACTATCAGTAGAAACTGACAGCAAAAATCACAGCACTTTGGACTTCAACAAACTCAGTAAAGCAGCTGCATCTTAAAAAAATACACAATATACAAAATAAGAGTTCAAAATGTTCACAGTTACATTTTAACTATTTTTTATTTATTAAAACCAGCTACAGTAAAAATGCTGTGCTATGATATCTTGGACCACTCTGAGAGAATCAAACTGTGGCACCAAAGAAAAGATCAAAACAAAAACCACTTCTCTGAAACAAAAGGTACTCAGATACAGAAACAAAAATGAAACAAAAGCTAACTACTCTTCTCTGGCCAGTAATCAAAATTACAAGGGGTGGTGCCCACGCTCTGACCAACTAGACAGAGCAGACCTCTACATGGTGCGAAAGTACAGGCACCCCTCTTAAGTGGTTTGAAATGTCAGGTGATACACTAATCCAGCAGATCTTGTAAGTGGAGCTGGGGTGAGCTGGTGAGGTTTACCCAACATAAGCGCTCCTCTAACACAAACACAAGTCCCCTGTAAGCAGAGTTAGTGAGTGTGCTGATAATTCTCCCAACTCAAGAGTAATACCTGCTCACATGTAACACCAGTGCTGGCAGGTCATCCTGATTAGAAGGAAATCTGGTGCGAAAACTTTGTCTTTGTCTCAACACTGCTAAACAGAACAATGATCAAAGTTTCACATCTGTGCTTTTAGAAAATCATGATATTTACCAGTAACAGCTAAAATCTCCCACAATCCAATCAACTACATCTCCAAAATCAGAGCTACTGATCACACAATCAGTAAAAAACTGTCTCAGGATGTTGTGCTGTGACTGATGGGTAAAAGTGGGATTGCGTGCAGCTCTAGATCATCTCTAATTCGGCTCCATTTACTTTCCTTTTTACATAAAACCAAAACATGAAGCACAGAAAAGTACAAGATGACTGTAAAAACATACAGAAGACACTCTGAACCCTCCTCCAGACTGAAGAACAGAAGATTCAGTCTTTGTGGGTGAAAAGGCTCTTCACTCTGATCCTCTACAGCCTTGTCTCACACTAACCTGAGGGCTTTTCCTTCAGAGGAACTTGTTCAGTGGTAGTAGACTGACTCTTATCCTCAGCTGTAGTGCAGCATCCATGTGAGCGCTGTGTTCTTCTCTTCAGCCACATCCAGCCTCTTACTATCTGTGGTGGGACAAAGTAGGCCAGCAATGCTCCAAGAAAGACCCCCACACCGAGCCCAATGCCAAACTCTGTTTTCTTCCAAATGTTCCACACCCAGCTCTCCTTCTCACCTAAAGAGAGAACCGAACAGACAACTTCAGAAATGTTTTGAGGGACTATTGAAGATGTGTGAAAACGGCCTAGTATTCCTAACTTATATGTTAAACGGTGAAATCAGTTAAAGTCTTACCTCTGACTGTGGTTCTATATGTAGACACGACCTCCTCGTTCTCAGTGTCCACTACAGTGTAAACACCACCATCAGAGTCCTTCAGGTCCTTCAGCTGCAGACTGGACTGGAACAACACTCTCTCCTCATATGGAGGGTCACATTGGACTTTACGGCCCTTGACTTCACACAGCTTCACAGGGTTTGGATCAGAGTCTCCAGTCCTGTTGAAAGTGACCTTCACTGGCTCTGAGACGGGAAGATCCAGAGTCAGATTATCCCCACGGTTCATCTGCAGGAAGTTCTCAGGAGCTGCAAAGATAAAAGCACAAGAAACCACATCTTCACTCACTGCCTCTTACGTTTTACAGTCTGATTAAAAGATAAAATGACCAGGTTCACTGACTGGACACTTACGCTCGAGCCGTAGACTCACATCACAGACGTCTTTACCGTCACACTGACAGGTGTACCAGGTTCTCTTAGTGAAATCAGCGTCAGTGATGGTGAGAGAGAGATTCCCCTTCAGGTACTGATCATGGATCATCTGATATCCCTCCTTCACTGATCTACATGAAGTCTGATCACACTCAGACAGAACATCAGTGGGTTTACGGGATGCAGTCCATCTGACCAAACCAGAACATCTCTCAGAGCAGGACAGAGTAGCAGAGTCATGAAGCTTCACCTTCACTGAAGAACGAGCTGAAGAAGGAGGAACTGCAGAAGGAGGGAGAGAGAGGTCTGTTAATAACGATGCAGTAAACCTGTGTCAGATCTCAGTCCAGTCCAGGTTTTTCATCCAGCTGCAACAGAATTTTATGGCGGTTTCTGAATTTGTGAATGTTAGAACTCATAATGCTCAGAGTATCTGAACTGGAGATGCACCAGGTTCCACAAAGCAGCACTGCACCATCTCTAATTTGAATATTGAGTAACGTTCCCACTCCTCACTCTGGAGATCAGGGTTCAGCTCCTCACTTTAAAATGCACTTCATTACTACCTGAGTGCATGTTTTAGGTTGAATTTCATTCACATTCAGGGTCCCTTTTCTCCACAAATGTCGGTGCACATGTTGGTCTTTTTGTAGATCAGACTAAATTATATCTCATAATCTACCTACAGTTAATACTCTACTGGCTACGTTCATCAGCAGTGTGTCAGTAAGATATCAATATCATAAATGGTATTAATCTATACAGCACATCCCCAAAAACTGGTAGAATAACTGATAAAACAGTGAACTACTCAAGGGCATAAATCAAACCAAACAAAACCGTGATGGTAAAGAATGACACTACCTTAAACAAAGCATGTCTGACAGTATAATTAGCCTGCAGCTCTATTAACAATGTGCGAAATGTAAAAACACACCCAAGATGCAAGAGAAGCTCAGCAGCCCAAACAGGAACGCTCTCCGGATCCTGGAGCTCTGCATGTCTGTGGATTCACTGAGGAGGTAAAAGAAACACTGCACATCAGTAAGAGGGTCCTGCTGAGACCCCCTTCACACCAGCTGTTAACATCAGCCCCTGGTTTTTGAGCATTAGGTTCAAAGATATGCCGGCTCCGGTGGCGCGGTGGGCAGATGCAGCCGCCACTTCAGGAAGAGCAAATCGGTGCTTTTTGCTATTTTTTTGTTTACTATCTGTCATATAACCCGACCAAAACTATATATCATGACTACTTCAACCAGTACCAGCGTCTACCATCGCCAGAGGAGCTAGTCTCTAGTCACTGCTCACCGCTGGTGGAGTTTGCGATTGTCAGAGCTGGGCCATTTTATTTGCCAAGAGAACTAACTATGCTGTACATAGTAGCGGTGTACATAGCTCCTAGTGCTAATGCTAACGCCGCACTGAACGAGCTGTACAGCGCTATCAGTGATCTCCAAAACACGCACCCAGACGGACTGTTTATTGTTGCTGGAGATGTCAACCATGCCAATCTGAAGTCGTTGCTCCCAAAATTTCACCAGTATGTGGACTTTGCAACCCGTGGGGCTAACGTGCTGGATCTTGTTTATACAAACATCCCCGGTGCTTACAGGGCCGAGCCCCACCCCCCACTACGGCTACTCAGACCACATCTCTGTGATGCTCATTCCAACATACAGACCATTCATCAGACGTGCCAAACCAGACCAGAAGCAAGTGAGAACCTGGCCACCAGGAGCTATCTCTGCTCTTCAGGACTGTTTTGAGCACACTGACTGGGAGATGTTCAGAGAAGCAGCAACCTCCGGTGACTCCATCAATCTGGAGGAGTACACAGAATCAGTGACTGGCTACATCAGCAAGTGCATTGATGATGTCACTGTCTCCAAACTTGTCACAACTCACCCCAACCAGAAACCATGGATGACTGCAGAGGTGCGCACGCTGCTGAGAACCCGTGACAAGGCTTTCAAGTCAAGGGACAAAGCAAGCCTCAGGATAGCAAGAGCCAAGCTTTCCCGGGAAAGAGGCTAAGCGTGCCTACTCAAAGAAAATCCATGAACATTTTCAAAACACTGCTGACACACGGCGCATGTGGCAGAGCATCCAGGCCATCACCAACTGCAAGCCACCTTCACCTGCTTGTGACAGTGATGCCTCCCTTCCAGACACGCTAAACAACTTCTATGCTCAGTTTGAAGCACAGAACGGAACGAGGGCGAGGAAAACCACTCCTCCTCCAAGTGAACAGGTACTGTGTCTGTCCACAGCTGATGTGCGGAGAACTCTACACAGAGTCAATCCATGGAAAGCACCAGGATCCGACAGCATACCGCCCCTCAGGGCTGTGTGTTCAGTCTGCTGCTGTTTACCCTGCTGACTCATGACTGTACAGCAAAGCACAGCTCAAACCACATCATCAAGTTTGCTGATGACACGACTGTGGTGGGTCTGATCAGCAAGAATGATGAGTCAGCGTACAGAGAGGAGGTGCAGCGGCTGACAGACTGGTGCGCAATCAACAACCTGTCTCTGAATGTGGACAAAACTAAGGAGAAGGTTGTCGACTTCCGGAGAGTGTGAGGTGACCATGCCCCACTGACCATCACTGGCTCCACTGTGGGAATTGTGAGGAGCACCAAGTTCCTTGGCGTCCACATCACAGAGAACCTCACCTGGTCCCTCAACACCAACTCCATAACCAAGAGAGCCCAGCAGAGCCTCTACTTCCTGCAGAGACTGAAGAAGGCTCATCTCCCCCCTCCCATCCTCACCATGTTCTACAGGGGGACTGTGGAGAGCATCCTGAGCAGCTGTATCACCGCCTGGTTTGGGAATTGCACCACCTCTGACCACAAGACCCTACAGTGTATAGATGGACAGCTGAGAGGATCATCGGGATCTCTCTCCCCTCCATCATGGACATCTACACCACACGCTGCATCCGCAAAGCCACCAGCATCGTGAACGACCCCACCCATCCCTCACACGGACTTTTTTCACTGCTGCCGTCTGGCAGAAGGTACCGGAGCATTCGTGCCATCACTGCCAGACTCTGCTACAGCTTTGTTCCTCAAGCAATCAGGTTTTTAAATTCACAAGGACTAAACTACCCCCCCCTCCCCCCACACACACACACTCATACACCCCTCTTTTGATGCACTACTTGCACTATCTGGAACATTACTGCTAATACTGTGTTTACACTGTTTTACTACCTCAGTAACTGCTGTGCTCACGTATGTTATCTGACTCTGTATCTCACAGATCACAGCATGTTAAATACTGCACTTTATTCCACTACCTCATGCTCAGAAATGAGTGCTGTGTCGGCGCTGCACTTTCCTCTCTGTTTACTGTGTCTAATGTTTAATTTATTGTATTTATTGTACTGTTTCTAGCCTAATTCTTTGTTTGCACACTGTCTGCACGTTCGCACTTTGTACTTTGTGTTCCTTGTTGCACCGTGTTGTTCCTGGAGGAACGTAATTCCACTCCACTGTGTACTTGTACATAGATGGAATGACAATAAAAGCCTCTTGACCTTGACCTTGACCTAAATGTAAAAAGGAAGAAAAAATAAACTCTGTGTGATTTAATACGTTCAGAAAGCTGAAAGATATTTACACTTTTAACTAATCTCATACTTAATAGCTGTAAAGTAAGTGTTAATTAACTTGTGTACTTTTTATGGACAGATCACTTTTTAACACCTTCATAACCAACAGTTTACCTCCAGCTGTTTGTTTTCAGCGGGATTTACACAGCTGGGACTTTTCCGGGATTATTTGTGCTGAGTCACGCGGCTCAAGGCAGTGAATCAAAACAACACAGTTTATGTAATCTGATCTAGTCTAATCTGAAAGGTGAAAGATATTCCATTAAAGAGCAGTCAGACAGTCAGAGGTGAGCTTTTTATCTGCTCTGCAATATCGGCAGGGTTTCCACAGCGGCTTTCCTGGCTAACTTTCACCCTCAGGAAGTTAATGTAATTAGCCTGTAATTACAGTGTGAATATTTCTTGTATACTCACGGTTTGTCGTGCTGGAGCTGGAGATAATCAAAGATAAAAAAGTTAAAAAAGTGACGAGAGACGACGAGAGGTAATAAAGAGTTAGTGTCACGATAGCGCGAGAGAAGGCAGGTCAGAAAATCTTCTAGAAATCTGGGCGGTTCCTGTTTCATCCTTTAGTATTTCACTGCACTCATTACTGTCTAAGTCAGGTGTTTTCTTCCAAGTTGCGCAATCTCGCTCACTCTTACACACACACACACACAAACACACACACACACACACACACACACAAATGCTGCCAGGAGAAGTCGATTGCAAGCATCAGAAAGATGGTGTATAAAAAAGCAGCATATGTTATTCCAACATGTGTATATAAATTTCATTGTTAACCACGAATACCTCCATGAGCCTGGCTTTGGAACTTTATGCTGGTAACAACCCAGCCAGCATTTTCATGTGGGCCCCATACGGGATAGCAACTGGCTAGCAATAGGGCCCCCCTTGGGCGACCCAGTTGGGGCCTTCACAGATTTGACCACTGGCTCTGTATAGGCTCCATGTGTGTTAGCCCATGCAGTTCACTAATCGGGCCAAGATAAGCACTGAGTGGGGACAGATGGTGCAATTAACTTTGGGTCCTAAATCTTGATGGTCCTTAATATCTTTAACCCTGAGAACATAACGTCCATTATTTCCAGAAAAACTGAAAGTTTGACTCGTCAGACCACAGTACACCTTTACACTGAGCATCAACACCAGTCAAACATCCGTTTCTGGATGTCATTGATAGTGACCTCCACTGTGTTTAGCACAGTCTTAACTTGAATTGCTGCAGTTATAGTGTTCAGTGTTTTCCTTCACTCACAGGTTTCTCTGGATTTTCTGAATCTTTTGATGATTTTATGCACTACAGAGAGTGAAACACTTAAAATCCTCACAATCCCTCTCTGAGGAACTTTATTATTAAACTAGTGGATTTCTTTGCTGATGTATTTGGTAAGTTGTGACCCATCCTCACTAGGACTAGAGCGTATGTTTGCAAAACAATTGATAAGTTGATAGGATAAAACATTAAGTGTCTTGTCTTTGTACTGTTTACATTTAAACACAGATCAAAGTAAGTTTATAAACCAGTCCTTTCTGATATATATTACATTTCATGCTGCCCCAACTTTTATGGAATTGGCTTTGTGTTTTCAGCAAAAGTCTAAACACTGCTGAGTGATATGAGGGTTTATCTCCACCTGGTAAAGTGAAAGCACTGTGAAGTGGAGGGTGTGGTGGTTGTAGTCCAGGTGCTATTATAATCTCCACTACAGTGGAATTGAGCCTCTGTCTCATACACAGTTAAACACCTGTAAACAGTGAATGCAGGTGTCTGACCTTCTGCCGCAGCAGTGTTTGTACAGATTATCCAAAGAAGGAATCTGTAGTTCAGTGAACGGATTGTAGGTCTCTCAATGTGTTAGGTCTGTAGCTGTACTCATTAACGTACTACAGGTATGTGGGTTAGATTTAGATTATTAATATGGCTTAAATAATAGAAGGTTTCATCCTTACGTTACAAATAGCAAAATCCATAAAAATGAAAAAAAAGGAGAAGAATATTTGAACGCTTATTCATGCACTCTAAGAACAATTCATTTCTCTACTGACAGATTTGGCTGCATCTAGTGGTTACGTGTAATTTATTTCTGTTTTCATACTGTTTTTATTTTATTTCTATTTCTTTAAGTAACTGCACTTGTTAGCACTCCAAGCCAATGATTGGTTGCAGTAAAGTGTCACTCAAATGCTTCTTGTCCTCCTATAGGTGTTGCTAGGGCCAGGGTCAGGCCTTGATGATTTATGGGCAGTCTTTATCCTTGACATGTACAGGCATACTCCTAGTTCAAGCATAGCTGCCTTGCCTCAGTCAGCCCTTTTCTACAGTTATGCTATGGCCTGTCACTGGTAAGGGAGCATCCCAAACAGATGGAAGCAGCTGCAACACCTACCTTTCAGCTGGGTGATCCTCAGGACATTGGTAACCACACGTCCATTTGCATTCCTCCTGCAGTATCTGAGTCTTAACCATCAGTCAGTTGCTCTTAACACATACACTAGTCAATATTGGTCATACACAAAATAAAAATAATTGTTCACAAAAAGACATACACTGGAGTCCCACAAGGATCTGTAATTGGAACACTTTTGTTTTGCAGGCAACACTGTATAAACAAACTCTGAAAGTTCTGTCCTATTTTATAGAGGTAAAACATTTTAAATTAGTGTGTTGTAGTACAATGTGAGGAGATTGTGTTCTTCCCTTCAGAAGATGTTTGCTTTCAGCTATTTAACACTCTGTATTAAAGCATCAGAAGAAAGGAATCCAGCACTGCTACATCCGAGTCTAATACGGAATTTTAATTTCCAGGGCAGTTGAAACTTTCCAGGACAATTGAAATTATAGTTCTTTCTTTGCTAGAACTGTTTGTCTGCAGTTTAATGGTTGTATGTGCTGAGTTGCTTTATAGTTGTCTTGTATACCTTTTATGTAGCTGTAACTTAGCAACAGCAACATTCAGTATTATCTTACGCATCTTTGTCTGTGAATTCTGATTGATGTGTGTTTTTGTTATGGTTATAGAGCCCTGTTTTAATTTTCATATTTTGCGACACTATTAATTTGTGATTTTAGATGAAAGCTATTTTAGGGTCCTATAGCATTCTGTCAGGGATGACAAATGAAAATGAAGTATTTTCAAGGTAAAAATAGAATGTTCAGTATCAGATTTAATGTAAATAAACCATACATATACTGTATTTTAACACAGCTGTTGTTAACTTACAGAAATAAATGTAAGTTCATAAAAAAGAAATAATCACCTTTGTTTCACAGACATTTGCATGTGTTTTAATGGTTTTTACTGTTATTACAGTGAGACACTGCATGTCAGAATAACTTGGTAAACTAGTCAAACTGTTGAATTACAGTAAAAGGAAGTGTTTCTACTTTAGCCACTTTGTTAAAGATTTTTCCAGTGCAAAAATAATGTGTAGATGTGTGGGGTCACCACCAGGACTGACTTCAGGAATCCCTGCTGTAGATCAGTGGTGTTGAACGTAGTTCCTGGTGGGTCACAGCTCTGCAGAGACCAGCAGTATCTCTCTTCTAACACTCTGAATTCAGGTTTGTGTAATTAGCTAATGAGGTGAATCATGATACATGAGAATGCACATCTCTGCAGTGTTTAACACTTCAGATGCTGATTTAAGAGTTTCACGTACTAAAATAAAGTCTTAAATTTAAAACACTGTAAACTGAATATCTTTATTTTGTATGTAAATTCTCAAAAATACTCAGTATCTCCAACACTTTGCTGTGATACTGGAAGAGCAGCAGAAAGACTAAACACAATTTAAACAAGGCATAAAAGTACAGAAATAAGTATACATTTTATTTGTATAAAATACAGATAGACTACATTTAAAAATAAATCTTAAAACAAATTCTCATGTATAAACATACACATCTCTAGTACAAATAAAATCAAACTTTGTTTCTGCTTCTCCTATTTATGAACAACTCAGCCAAAAGCAGAGTGAGTGCAAATGTAACTACTTACCCCATAAACGGGATCACTGTAACAGACTGAGTTGTAACAGTCAATAAAAAGTCTGGTGATTTAGTGCACAACACAGTTAATTCAGTGCAGTTCTGTGATGTTTGAACCAGACAAGTTTTCCAACCTAAATACATACAAATATGCATTTGGTTGTTCTCACTTATATGACCGATTTGCTTAGCAAAATTCATACATACATGTACACTTAATATTCCTGACCAGATTGTAAAACATCTATGCTGCTGTGCAGGACTGGGTAGATTACCCAAGAAATGTAAATGATGTTACATCATTAAAATGTCATTTTATAGAGTACTCATGTTTGAATATTATGGACCACTTCTAATCTAATCTTCCTTAAAGATTTTTTATAAATCCAGTTATATATGTCAAATATCTGAAGACCCAGCCCTGATTTCCCTCCCACGTTTTGGGATCTTAATCAGTCATAAGTCCAGTTTCCCAGGAAGGGGTCAATATTATATTATAAGAAATTCCTAAAAATGTAGCTTAATAAAAATTAACATTTTTATAGATGGCAAAGTGCTTAATTTTATATATTCTTTTTATATTTACAGACATTAGTGTCCCATCAATCAGGTATCATGGCTAAGTTCATGTGAAACCTTCAAGCAGGACACAGCAAATACTCTACAATGACAAAGCTTTAGTTTAGACTAGTTTACATCTATTTTAAGACTTTATAAGGTTTTATAAGGATCTACAGGAATACTGCACTGACCAGACATGGAGACAAAACCCACAATACCAACAAAAACAGCAGCCAAACCCAACACTCAGAGAAGCTGAATTTACAGATGTACAAAGAAGAGTTTACATATGTACACACAAGAATGTACACAAGATAACCAGGTTAGAAAGGGACTGGTCTTAATCTCAGGGTCATAATACAAAGCAAAGTATTAATAAGCCAGTAAGTCAATCAGAATATGAAGTAGAGAGAATGAACACAGAAACCTGGAGTGGATTGTGGAGCGCAGGAAGCTTTACCCGATTCATAAAACGGTAAACTTCTGTAATAAGGTCTTATAGTCAAAGAGGTAGAGATCTAGAGTAAAGATTCTGAACCAGATCAACGTCTCTGTTTCACATTGCTTTCACATTGAAAAACCTACATTAAAACACCTACATTTCACATTAAAACACCTACATTTCACATTAAAACACCTACATTAGAGTGTAGGTGCACCCCTCAGTGCAGTGGTCTCCAACCCTGGTACCTTCCTGCAGTGTCTAGTTCCAAACACAATCTGCCACACCTGCTCCAGCCAAGTAATTTCTTCAGAAGTCACTGATTGGCTGGATCAGAGGCATTAGTCTTAGGTAAGGACAAAGCATTTTGGGTGCAGGTTGGAACTAAACTCTGCAGGAAAGCAGATCTCCAGGAGGAGGGTAGGTGACCGCTGTACAGTGTTGTGAGTGCTGGATGTTTAATCACCCACTCTCACACAGGCAGGCCTGAATGGTAAAGCCTTTTCTTCTCTACCTTACTGTGGTTTCCCCATCCATGGATTTAAACTCCACTACTGTCAGGCCTCGAGGACCGCTGACTTTCCCTCCTCTGCCGTACAATCACCACCACTGATATCACAAGCCCGGCTCCCACCAGCACCAGCACTACAACCGTCCACGCTGGCACACAAGTTCCCTCATCTCTGCACGGATGGGGCAGGTCATCTACAAAGAGCACAATACAAAAAGAAAATGAATCCAGAAACGGGTGCAACAAATCTGAACTTCTAAACACACTATGCATCCTGTATATTTAGTACAGAAGTACCTATGGATCTGATCTTGTGTTTTAGAATCATCACTATCATAAAAACATCTCAACATCATAACTGGAGATAAACACAGTTCAGCAGTTCCAGCAAAAACCACTGACTTAGGATCTGATTAAACATCTCTGGGCAGTATCGCATCTCCATTAAATAGTAATAAAGAATGATACATTACAATAATGTTATATATCACAATAACAGTAAGAATGAATGATATTGTAATATAAGTCAGTCATGAAATACTAATAATAATGATGGAGATTCAACTAAATGTAACAAAAACATTGCATGTATGTATCTGGTGTAATGAGTAGGAATCACTGGAGAGACTGAACTACACAGAGGATAAACTACAGATCTGAACAATCACACATGATCAGTCATTCACAACTAAACATGATTAAAGTTAGTTACGGTACACTTTAATCACAATTTCTTGGTTCTTAAAGAAACTAAATTTTTTCAACAACCTGAAACATTCATGTAGGGTGGTTTTAGATTTTACTGACATATGATGATGTACCCCTGATCAGGCAATGATAAAAACGTGAAACGCAAGCATGGTGTTCTATCTTTGCCACTTGATTGTCAAATAAAACCAGTGAGAGCTCCCTCTACTAAATGTTTGCAGATATAAACATACATCATCCTGTTACATTCAAGTGCTGATGATAAAGAGTAGAACTGTTGGGCTTTCTTACTCATTTACTTCACCAACCACACAATGAACAGTATTCTGTGTAGAATATATGTGAATTATTGACCTGATATGAACTGTAAATCTCACACTAAATCCATACCTTGGACGGTCACTGTGTAGGTGTGAATGACCTCTTCATTCCTGGAGTCTCGTATGGTATAAACTCCACTATCAGATGGCTTAATTCCTCTCAGCTCAACAGTAGATGGGATTGACATTCTCTGTTTATATTCATCTTTACACTGTAGTGAGTGTCCATCTACCTTACAGATCTGACCACTGGATAGTTTTGCGCCATCTGAACTTTCATAAATCACCTCCACTGGATCCGATACCTCCAAATCCAGCACCAGAGATTCTCCAGGTTTTATCTGAACTGTGGTTTTCAGGGCTGAGGAAGTAAAACAAAGCAGCAGTTGGGGGCGAATCTGATACAGAGCACTGCATCTACATCACTGTAGTTCTAAAAAAGACAGACACTTACACTCAATCTGTAGATCCACATCACAGAGGTCTTTACCATCACAGTCACACGTGTACATGTTCCTCTTAGTGAAATCAGCGTCAGTGATGATGAGAGAGAGATTCCCCTTCAGGTACTGATCATGGATCATCTGATATCCCTCCTTCACTGATCTGCATGAAGTCTGATCACACTCAGCCAGAGCATCAGTGGGTTTATGGGACACAGTCCATCTGACCAAACCAGAGCATCTCTCATAGCAAGACAGAGTAGCAGAGTCATGAAGATTCACCTTCACTGTAGGAACAGCTGATTCAGACACTGAAAGAGGGATCATCATAAACAGATAAAAATGTGTTAAAGGACATTAATAATCTGTCTCAGTTCTTTACTCATCTTTAATCAGTTTGAGGGAAATGTTTCTGCTCAGAGGTTCATTACAATATCCCATCTGTTTCATTGTATCATAATGTAATGACATAGTTTTAGTATGATGATACTGCATAGAGAAGTAACAATGTGCCAACACAACCAAACCAAACTGAAGGTAAAATACAATAAAGCCTTTAGTAAGATGATAAAGTAGTGTCAGTGCAGTTCTTACCAGTAGTGAATGTAGAGATCAGTAAGATCAGGATACAGAGAGCAGAACTGCAGGACTGCATGACTGACCTACAGACACACAAACACACCATCAGTACTGACCAGGAGAGGAGAGAGAGAGAAGAGAGAAAGAGAGAACAGAACTGACCTACAGACACACACACACCATCAGTACTGACCAGGAGACAGGAATCAAAGAAACGTGAACACTACAGTAGAGCTGGGCGATCTGGCAAACATGTAATACCACAATACTTGAAGTTTTCACAATATTTCTTTTTATTTTTCCTCACATATGATTATTTGGAAAAAAAACAAGCTACTATTCAACATTTCACTCACTGCATTAAATCCAAATAAACAGGACTAATTATACTGTCTTTGTAATGAAACACTGAGTTGGGAAGTACTTAAGTACTTTTGATTTACACATTATGCTTAGAAAAGCATATTGTGACAAATTTTGATGTAATTTATCACAATATTAATTAATATTGTAATATTGCACAGCTCTAGTTTCAAAACAAAATCATGATGTCACCCACTTCAACTGCCTTAAACATCATCGGCTATTGGCTATAATAAAAAACAGACTATTTCTGTTTTACACCTGTTGCCCTTTGAAGGTACGTTCACGTTATCTTGGCAGAAAGGTTTTGTGTGCGTCTCACGTGGTTTACTGCCATGTTGAACTTTGATGTCGCCGTGCAATGACCTTGAACAAGCAGCAAACTACAACAGAATTTTTTTTTCCCCCGCATGCTGTACTGCTGTACCAAATACAAACATATACATACAGGGACCAAACTGTAAAAACCTTCACATTGCAATTTGTCAGCTAACAGCGGAGACTAGATTAGTTAAGGAAACATGATTTGGCAGAATGGAGAGGATAATGCACTCATACAATTAACACATGCATGGAATAGGTCATGGTCTTATACAGTGACCGGTCAGTGGAAGTTCTTTGGCCTGTGGTCCAAAAAGACCCGTGTATATTTAGTTGCTTAGCAGATGCACTTAGTACCCAGAGATACTGCAAGAATCTGTAACCTAAGACACAAGAGCCACACCACAGCTTCACCTAGTTAAATAAACAAAGTATAGACTTTCCCAAGAATCAATTAAGTACATTTGCTTACACAAAGTAATAAAACACAGAGGATTGAAGATGACAGTCCTTCAAAAATCAGGTGTGAATAAGGTGTTAACCTATTGCTTCAATTCCCAAGCACAGGCACCTGAGCAATGGAACAGATGGAGAACATGAAGCCCCGTTTTCATTAGCAGGGGTTATTTTTTCTGATTATGTTGAAATAATGCTTTATTTTTTTAGATTTTGCCTGATAACATTGTCTTATTGTCTCACAATTTTGTCTGGTTACATCAAAATGTCTTATTTTGTGTAATTAGGTCAAAGTAAAGGCTTTTTTCTCATGATTCAGAGAGAGTGATTATATTGAAATAATGGATTATTTTCTAAGATTTTGACTGATTATGTCAAAATAATGGTTTATTTAGAGTTAATACCTCTGTAACTCAGTGTGACCTGCTAACATTGGTAGGGCTAATGCAAAGATGCAGAACCTGACTGAGCAGTGGACAAAGTCAACTTTAACTGTGTTTCCTACATCCAGACATGCTCAGGCTCAAAAGAAATACTGAGGCCAGTTAAACATGGTGACATCCATAATGGTATGTAGAGGCATTAGTTCTGATAAATCCTTTATTATAAGGTGGTTTTATGGGTCAACGAATACAAAATATCCCCTCTTAATACAGTGCAACAATGCTCTTACTTGCAATTATCACGTTGTATATATTATGTGTAGTATATTCTATTACATTATTGTATTTTAAATTACAAATGTAGCCTCATGAGTGTATTTTAATTCTTTTTTGTTATCTCAAATAGACATGTGCTTATCCTTAATATGTACAGCTAAATCTTCATAGCAAATGAACAAGACATTTTTGTTTTATAGCTGAACATTCTGGCTTTGTGAAACGTACCTCAAGCAAATCAAATTATTTTTCCAGATCAAGTAGAGGAAAAACTATGGAACCACTCAATACTGAGGAAAAAAAACATATGAAATCAACTTGTAATTTGTATTTCCAGAACAAATACAGACACAACTCTAAAAATGCAAATCAGCCTGCAGTTAACAGGAAGTGCTTTAATTTGGAGTTGATTTTGTGCCAGAAGTTTCTATAAAGTAATAAAACCCATAAGCAAAATATTGAGTATCAAAATGCACAAAATATGTTGCAAATACGAATAAAGAAAAGTAAATCAAACTTTTTTTTTACCAAAACAAAAATATATTACTCATTTTGTCAGTTTTTGCTTAATTTTTTTCTATTTGCTGATTTTGCTGAGAGACTTTTTCTTCTGGAAATCGCTCTTTTGCTTACGGGTTCAGAAGACCTGTCACTCTAAATCAGCTGACCAATAGAAAGTGCTGGTCAACGCCTGCTTCTAAGATCTGCTCCCTGTTAAAAAGTGCCAGAAGTCAGGAGTAAAAAATTCCACATGCAAAAAAATCCAAAACCAAAAACATCCAATAGAAGAAAATATGAAATAAGTAATACATTTATATCAAAAGAAGTGAAAATGTTTTTGAAAAAATAATGTTCATTGAATTCTCATTATTTGTATTTGTAACATGTTTGGACATTTTGATACCATTTTGCTTGTATAAATTTATTATTTTATTTGAAACTTTTTGCATAAATTTAACTTCATACTTATAGACCAGATTTCCACATAGAAATGAAACATGGGCGAATCACCCAGCAAGAGACAGAAGACAGACTAAAGGGAGTAGGGCAGCTGGTGAAGACAGAACCACTGCAGACATGCTGAAGGCAAACTCCTCTATAAGCGCCAAGGCACTAGAAGAACCTTTCAGCAAAGTGTGGAAGGAAGAGAGAGTTCCAGAAACATGGAAGAAAGGCATCATTGTAAAGCTACTGAAGAAGAGCGACCTGTCGGTGTGTGGCGACTGGAGGAGCATCAACCTACTATCAGTACCAGTGAAGATCTTCTTCAGAGTCCTGCTACAGAGGATGAGACAAGCCATCGAGAGGATCCTGAGAGGAGAGCAGGCAGGATTCAGAAGCGGTAGGGAATGCATAGACCAGATCTTTGTTTCGTGCACCATAGTGGAACAGTCACTTGAATGGAACTCATCACTCCACATCAGTTTCATAGATTTCGAAAAAGTGTTTGACAGCATCCACCACCTCTCGCTCTGGAAGATTCTTGGAGCATATGGATTTCCAACAAAAGTCATCAACATCCTGAGAGACATGAACGCCAACAACCAGTGCTGTGTGCAACATGATGGGCAACAAAGCGAGTGGTTTCATGTGAAAACGGGAGTCAGACAGGGCTGTGTGATCTCGCCCGTCCTCTTTCTCATGGTCATCGACTGAGTGATGAGAAAACTACCGAAGACAAGCCAAGAGGGATCGTATAAAGACTGACTGCCCACTTTGAAGACACAGACTTTGCGGACGGTATCGCCCTGCTTTCCCACACCCAGAAAGACCTCCAAGAGAAGACAGACAGCGTCGACCAGAAAACAAGAAGCGTGGGGCTCAAGATCCACCCTGACAAGACCAAGGTGATGAAACTGAAGAACAAGAACACAACCAAAACCTGCCTGCCTGTCAGATTTTTGAGATGTTTTGAGGTATTGCTGTAGGAATTAAGTGTAATTTTGCCCAAATTTGTAGTCTTCTCACATGCAATGTTCACAGGTTCATGAAAAAAAAAATATTATAGTAACATTTCTGAATATTAAATATGACTACAGTAATAATCCTGCTTTCAGTTGTGTCACATGCTACTGTCTTAGTATACAATGCACTCACACTTCCCCATGTTATGTTTAAAAATCATCAGTTAAAAAAAAAAGAAAGGATTGTAAAATTTCGCAAAACTCTGCATTCTGAGACCTTTAATGACTGGAAGGCCACGGGACATAATCACAAATTCACCCTTTACTCCTCCCTTAATTTACTCAATCACGATGTTAGATTATAGAATGTTACATAAGTTCTGAAATAGAATTCACAGCAAAATGATCCTCGGACAGCTTCTGTGTGTTTGTATGATCCTTTCAATCCGCAGTATTTACAAAGCATTCTGTGTGGATAATCCATACTAGCAATATTAAAATGCGCCACCTACAGTCCCTGCAGCGTCATTTAAGGTGGAACGGAAAACTGGAATTCAGCCTTATGTAGACATGTTAGCCCTGCAGCAGTAGCTGCTAATATAGTAACGCCTGAGGGAGTAAATAATGAGGAACAGCACTATTAATCACTAGTAATCTAGGATAAACTCAGTCTTATCTAGCTAATTAACATTGACCTCAGCTTCCTACTTGAGTTTCAATCCCACCTAAAGCTTCCCACCACAGCTAGAAGGAGATGATGATGATATGACTGTCTCCACAAACTGCACCCTAATCTGTCCATCAATTCTACCACACACAGCTAAATACAACAAAACAAGCATATTCTTCACCACAAACCGTGTAAATCCACAGATATGCAGAACTAAGTTAGAGTGTGGAGAACGCTAACATGACTCACCTGGCAGTGAGTCATCCAGCTCTGACAACACTTCAGCACTTACTGCTCTGATGATCAGTGTCCCGCGGAGAAAGAAACTCTGACGGTGGAAATGCTGCAGATGTGAAGAACACTAAATACACCTGCACAGGCCGACAATGGTGTGTGACAGAATTCAAAATAAAAGCCTTTTACACGTGTTTCTTATGTGAGTTTCTGTGCTGTCCTTTACTGATTTATTTAGGTCGTTTTCATTTACGTGCCTTTGGCCTCTTTTCTCTTTATTCCTTTATTTATTTTATTTTTTTCTTAAGTGCAGAAGTGCAGATACACTGTGGTGTAGTGAAGCTATGAGTACTGTGTCAAAATCTTACTCAGTTAAAAGTGAAAGTATTGAGCCGAAACTACACTGAAGTGAAAGTCAGAACACATCTGCACTTTAACCTTCTCAATGTTATAAATATAAAGGTTTAAAAACAGCAAATTAAGAATGATTTTCACTTTGTGCACAAGCTGATCTTACACGAGGACACATTCCTACAGTTGTGGACAATTTCACAATGCACAGAATTAAAAGGAGGAGGAGAAAAAGAGTGAAAAATCTACAGGTTTTTTTTAGATTTCTAATAAGTGAAAAAGTAAAACGTGTCAGCGCGCCTGCGCGTTTTCTCCCTTTTTCTCCCCTCCGCCTTTGTTCTCTCTCTCTCTCACTCCCTCTCTCTCTCTCTCTCTCTCTCTCTCTCTCTCTCTCTCTCTTTCTCTCTCTCTCTCTCTCTGTAGGTGGAGTGAGCTATCAATCACCTCCCGCGCATTGTAAGCCGTCCAATCAAGCACAGCCTTGCAGCAAGAGGGGCAGAGCCTCTCATTCAGGAGCGGCGCGGACTGAATTAGCTTGTCCAGTTCGGTTTGCTCTTGTCCATCTGTTCACTGGTGTTGCTGGTCTTGTCCAGTGGATACTGTGACAGGTAGTGATGGCCGTTACGAAGCTTTTCGAAGCATCAACCCAGCTGAACCAACTGTATCGGAAAGTGGATCAGTGTATAGAAGCACTCGTCACCTGGCTCCATGCTGCCATCTACTGTCCAGTTCAGTTTCCTACAAGGAGTGTTTCCTATTGATCGTCGTGTTTCCATTGAAGCTTATTCGCACAAATAAACCTCTATTACAGCACAAATGTGTTAATTTGATCATCTGAACATCATGCACGAAGGGCCTGGGTTCGATTCCCGGCCGGGTGACCAGGGTCATTTCTGTGTGGAGTTTGCATGTTCTCCCCGTGTCTGCGTGGGTTTCCTCCGGGTACTCCGGTTTCCTCCCACAGTCCAAAAACATGCAGTCAGGCTGATTGGACGTGCTAAATTGCCCCTAGGTGTGAGTGTGTGTGTGTGGATGTATATGTCTGTTTGTCTGCCCTGCGATGGACTGGCGACCTGTCCAGGGTGTATCCTGCCTTCTGCCCGATGACAGCTGGGATAGGCTCCAGCACCCCACCGTGACCCAGAAGGATAAGCGGTTTAGATGATGGATGGATGGATTAGTCTCCATCTTATATTAACTATGGATAAAGGAAAGTATATTAAAATAATAATTGAGACCCGGGTCTGTTTCTTGAGCCTCCATGATGGATCTGTTTAATTAATGGAACAGTCTCTGTGATGTTTTCTGTCCGTGTACGATTCACTCAGACTTCACCATGTTTCCAGGAAACCCCCGACACTTTGAACTTCCTCTGGGTAAGCGGACATGAATGAATTCAGACACAAAAAAAATATTTAATTTATGGATCAGTGTGCAAACAATGCAGGAACAAGGAATAAAACATTTGAAATATGACTACTGAAAACAACAGAAACCATTTTGGAGTTCACCGGTTTAACCCCATGGAAGAAGCCTGGGGATATCTGAATCAGAAGCTTCGGTGGCGGTTATCACATGACTCCAGCGTTTGAAGCGAGGCACCGAATCATTGTTTCGATATGATTCGCAGCGTGAAGTGTCGATTCTCCGGTATTGAGCATAACATCTCTAGTGACACTAGAGCCAACAACACTGAGTGTGTTTACATGCATTTAATAATCCGATAACTGCAGAAAATCAGATTTTGTCAGTAATCCGATCAGTGTGTTTATATGCTCTTGAGCAATCAGATAATAGGAAACTCCACATCTACATGAATCAGACTTCTGTTTCACAACCAGCCAATAAACTCACAGAAGAAGACGCGACGTAAATGTGATGTAAGACTCAAACTTCATGTCGCGGCTTTTTTTAAACATCACACCACTTTACCTGCAAATATGAACAGACATCATCTAGAACATAAAGAATATTCAAATCCTTCATTTCCTGTTTGGTTTCAGTGCCGCTCTAAAAGTGTTTTGCTGCATCTCGCGACATCCACCATCTGTTCTCGCACAGACTGAGAAATCTGAAAGAAATCAGAGTAAGAGTTTACATGCACTGAGAAATCTGATTACTGAGCTAAAATCCAGCCTCTTTATCAGATTTCTTAATCGGATTTCTAGATCAGAGTATGATGTTTACATGACCATTTAATAATAACTAGAAAACCGATTATGATCACTCTCTCTCTCTCTCTCTCTCTCTCTCTCTCTCTCTCTCTCTCTCTCTCTCTGAGATAAGATTAGCTCCTTTGTTTTGGTTACTTTTTCTCCTGTTTAACTTAGGGCAGAGATCTTTAAATAAAGTTCAGTAAGGTCCAGTTAGAGAAAATTTCCTCAAGCGAAGGTCCAGAACATCATAACGTCTAACTTGCATCATGATTCAGTGCCATATACTGTTTACTGAAGCAGCCTAGTAGGTATATCAACATCTTATACAGTCAACAACTGAATGTCCAATCAAATAAAGTACAGTTCAGTCATATTTCAACAACGTTTATCATCAGTTTTATCTTTTTAGAGCACGACATGTGAAATAACTTCCCTCTGACTCACTTTCTTCTCCGACTGCTGTTTCTTGCCTCGTCCCTCCCCTGTGTGTGCGTCACTCACTCGAGTCTCAGTGCTCATCGTAATGCACAGATCTGATTGGCTGAGTAGCGTCACGTGATATTTACAACACGTGATTCGTCTGTGAGTTTCCCGGGCGCTAAAGCTACTGTAAAGGCTAGAAAAGTTACGCCGATTAAAATAGTAAAACGAAAATTAAATAATTCTCCATAGTTTATCGGTTATAGGTCCAGGTCCACATAGGACAGCATCAGGGTCTGAACTCGGACCGCGGTCCACCTATTAGTGACCTCTGATGTAGGGAGTCAGGGTAACCATATGTCTTTTTTGTTTCTTTTGTTTTTAGTTTAGTTAGGTTTGAAATCATTAGTTGTGTTTGTTTATTATTTTGGGCAAACACTCGCTTTCAACACACTTCATTAGTCCCCATTCAGCTGGGCCTTTTGCAAACTTGCACACTTTTAAGGAAGTCTAAATAAACCTGCAGTTTCTGTTTTGAACGGTGTCCTGTGTCCGGTCTGGGGAGAGCCTGTGGTTTTTATCAATTGTACCTAGTTAAAGCAGAGGGCACTACATTCTACTACTACTGAAAATAAAGTTTAAGATCCCTGCTTATAGTCTACTGATTATTTTTTGTATTCAGAATAAACTCTGCTCTTCTGTTTGAGCTGTTGGACACTGAGTGTGACCACTGACTATAAAAAAGCAAATGTGAAAACAACTTGCACAATCCAAAAATAATGATGGATGGAACTGTAATAGTTTACTGTATATTTGTGATGAACTTCTGGAACCACACCACAGTTTGCCCTCTCAAATATATGCTTTTGTGCAAACTTGTCTTCTCTCAGTTAATTGCTTTACATTAATATTCTGTTCTAAGATAAATATAAAGGCACTCACCCCTCAGTTTTTACCTGATATACTAAACAGTGCTGATCAAACTCTGTTAGGCCTGTATTATGGGGTGGTTCACTAAACCGTGTCTGTGGAAGTGGAACTAACTCAGTACACAACCTGGATCTCACAGCTGAGGCCAAAAGACTGAACACATTCAAACCCAGTCTTTCACAACTCTACACATTCCATGTTACCATCCAGCTCTTTAGCCCTAAACTTTGTTCACATCAGAGGTGATTAAATCAGATTTAATTTACTATATCTTAATTCCAGTGGGTCAGAAATCCACAGAGATGTTGACTGTCTCTTTAAACAGCCGGTGAGATTCAAGAAACTGATGTAATGACTTTTAGAAGCTTCTGATTGGCCGATCGTCATATTTAAGAATTAATTGGGAGCACGCCTGGGGCTGTATGCGCCATCATATCAAGAAACTGCTTAAAACAGTCTTACCAACTTAGTTTTTTTCATGATTTTCTTCATTTTACCTACTTTTTATTCTTATAGTTGTCTTTTTAAATTTGTTTTAATTACTGTTACCCCTCCAAACGTTTTAGTTACTGCTTATTTTATTATTAATATATTTTAGAGCCAGTGACAAACCTTAAACTCATTATGATGTGTTTTGAAGTAGCACCATGTAAATGGCCATAAGCGTTTGAAGAACATGAGGACTTCTGTGTTCCAGTGTGAAGCAGAGCTCACTGCACTAAAGAACAATCAGTCTGAGTGTTTTTACTGCTGATGTTCTGTTCACTGAAACTTCAGCTCTAAAACAAACATGTTTACAGCTCCATCACTCGCTGTGCCTTATTTCAACTTCATACTATCATTATAAATTCAGATTTTCTGAAATTAAGACAAACACAACTTGTACCAATAAAAAAGTTTTTATTAAAGATTATATAAATTAGAAAAACACTGTACCTTCTACAGTCTACATCTGAGGCCTGTTTCACACATTAACCCATTCGGTTTTTTTGCAGTTCCCACATAAACAACAGTATTCACACAGCCTATATGAACAAGTCTAACTACAGAAACAACATAAGAAAAAATATATATATATATATATAAATATAAAAACAAATTCTACTATCATATTTATAAATATATTCTACATACACCTCCGGTAGACCTACAGAACAACTTGAAGCAAATGCTCAGTCACATTAAACTGCTGAGAGAAAACAAACGCTCTGTTTTATAGACTGTATTTATCAGCAAAGTAACGGATTTAACTGTTTCTCCAGCTGGGATAGGTGTGTGTGAAACAGGCCTGAGGCACTTGGTTCAGTCTCACAGATGTTTCCTTCAATCTCACAGAACAAGTCCAAAAACAAAACAATATAAGTGACAGAAAAAAACACTTATAAAACTAATGATCTACATAACCAAATATACAAACATATAACACAGCTGTCTGGGACACAGGAAGGTGTTTTCAGCTGGGGGTGCTTACATTTTTAGC